GTGTGTGTGTGTGTGTGTGTGTGTGTGTGTGTGTGTGTGTGTGTGTGTGTGTGTGTGTGTGTGTGTGTGTGTGTGTGTGTGTGTGTGTGTGTGTGTGTGTGTGTGTGTGTGTGTCAAACAAGGGCAAATGATGAGGCACATGTCTTCGAGGCAAAGCACAGCCACAACAAGGGTGGGCAGGAGGGTTGTGTCATGTTGCGACTCACGGGTCCTCGAGAACGAAACCGTAAAAGTCGAGCATGAGTTCAAACGAGCGCTGCACCCTGCAACGACCAACGACACCACATGACGCACAGAATTGTCCACATGTGCGTGCGAGTGAGTGAGTGTGTGTGTGTGTGTGTGTGTGTTTTCTCTGCATCTGAGGGGATGTTTGGATGTGATATTGAGGTGGCTGATCTGATGTTCACTTGATGCCTTGTGTTGCGCGTGAATAGAGGGAGGGGGGCGTCACCTGATGCGAATCTTGGGGTCCCGCCGCATCTGCTCGAGCTCTGGTCGCTGCAGCACCTGCGCCAGCCCATTTACGCCGGCCTGGTCCAGGAGCAGCGCAACGTGGCGTGAACGCATGCAGCAAGGTGTGAACACGGGTGATGAGGCGTGAGTGCATGCAGCAAGGTGTGCACACACACACACACACGCACACGCACACGCACACACACACACCTCGTGCAGAGGAAAGAGCCACTGGATGTATCCATGGTGCTCTTCCAGCAGGGCGTGCTTGTGCAACCATGTGCTGATCCGTGCAAAGCAAAGTTCAGGTGGTTGGGCAACTGTCAATCAGCTCTCCAAGCGTTGCATCGCGAAGCACAACAACATCGCCACTTGCAACGAACTGCACACGCAAAGCCAACCACACAACACACACAACACACACAACACACAACACACAACACACAACACACAACACACAACACACAACACACAACACACAACACACAACACACAACACACAACACACAACACACAACACACAACACACAACACACACAACACAACACAACACAACACAACACACACAACACACACAGCACACAGCACACAACACACAACCTGTGGATGGCATCGATGAGGTCTCCGTTTGGTTGAGAAGGGATGCGGTTGCAGTAAAAGTCCAAGTTCTTGGTCCTGGTCTGGCTGTCCTGCCCTGCACCATACGATGGGGACCGAAACCGCCTGCAGCGTGTGGTGGTGTGGTGTTGTGTCACAGTGCATGTGTTGGGCAACTGCTGCACAGCACTTGCAGACACGAACGGAAAGTAGCAGCAGCAGATGCAGCAGATGCAGCGAGGGTGAATGCTTACGCCAGGTCCGCAGAGGCCCACGACGACAGGGACGAAGCCGCCTCAAAGACAGCCGGCATGCTCTTGAGCTTGGCGATGGCCTGCTTGAGTCGGACGATCGATGGGTGCTGCGCCCCATTCAATTCGGGCACGGGATACGTGGTCGCTGCGTTGGTTGTGGTGGACGCCGATCTTGTGGTTGTCGTTGGAGAGGAGGAAGAGGCAGTGGCGGAGGTGGAGGAGGAGGACGGTAAAGTTGCAGTCAGGTCCGACGCCAGCGTTGCCAGCGGGGACGAGGATCCAGATGTACTCGGTGCTGTGGTTGTGGTTGTTGCTGTTGTGGCTGTTGTGGTGGTTGTGGTTGCTGTGACCACGGTGGACACCCGCTTTGGCAGTGGGGAAGTGGTGCGAGAGGCATCCCGTGCAACCAACCGCCCGGAAGGCCCAAGCACCTGCATCAAGCATGCCATTGTTGGCAGTGGGGAAGCGCTGCGAGAGGCATCCCGTGCAACCAACCGCCCGGAAGGCCCAAGCACCCGCATCAAGCATGCCATTGTTGGCAGTGGGGAAGTGGTGCGAGAGGCATCCCGTGCAACCAATCGCCCGGAAGGCCCAAGCACCCGCATCAAGCATGCCATTGTTGTCTTTGTCTTTGTCGCCATCCTGCGCACGCGATGATGGTCGTCTTGGTGTGTCACAGCGGCCAAGGTGGTTGATGGATGAGTGCGCCAAAAACAACAACAGCACAGTCAGCAACAACCGGGCTTCTTTCCTTTCTTGCTTGTTGATGTTGTGTGTTTGGCGGTGGTGATGAGGGCGCATTGGAGACAGCAGCTTGCAGAGCAGCAGGAAGGCCGCAAGGCGGCGCGCTCACGGATCGTGGTACGCTGCTTGCTTCACATGACTTTGCAGTGCTTCTCATTGCATCTTATGGGCTTCGCATTGCTTCTGCGACGACACACAGTGATCGCACGCATCATTCATTCCCCGACCTGCGTTGCGCCCTTCATTCCTGATTGCACATTCACCACTCCAACAGAAGGTGGGCTTGGCAGGCGTGTGCGTGGTAGCTGTGCTAGTATTTGTGCTGAACGGGCTCAAGGGCGACGACATTGCTGGGGGCGAGCGCGTAGCCGTGCGCCAGTATCAGCAGCAGCAAGGGGAACGGAGCGAAGCCGACGCGAGCGGACTTGGCGCACAAGAAGAGCAAGGACGAGCTCCGCCGCTCACCAGGCACCACAAAGACATGGGTGACGAGGAAGCACGGCGGCAGCAGCAACAGGAGCGGCAAAGCCAGCCGTACCACGAGACATTCCTGGAGCCGCGGGCGTTTGCCTTTGCTCGAGATGAGAACGAGCTCATCGTTAAGGTGCGTCTGTGTGTGTATGTGTGTTTATGTGCCTGTGTGCATATACTTTGTGTGTCTGTCTGTCTGTCTGTCTGCCTGTGTGAACCTTGTTCACGTTGTCTTTAACCCCTTTGCCACACACACACACACACACACACACACACACACACACACACACACACACACACACACACACACACAAACACACACACACACACAGACGTTGACGGAGGAAGTTGACAGCGTGTTTGTCGCCACGTACGAGCCAGAAGGACCCAACAAAGGCGACGTGGGTCGAGAACACGATCCGTTTGTGTGTGTGTGTGTGTGTGTGTGTGTGTGTGTGTGTGTGTGTGTGTGTGTGTGTGTGTGTGTGTGCGTGTGTGTGTGTGTGTGTGTGTGTGCGTGCGTGTGTGTGTGTGTGTGTGTGTGTATGCTTACGTGTACCTGTTTGTCTGTCTGTTTGGCTTGAGCGGATGTACTCATGCGTGCCTGTGTCTGTGCATCTGTCATATGCATGTGACCTTTCACGCATGCTTGCTTGCCTACCTCACAACCTCGTCTTCAATTCCCCCCCCCCCACAAATCACACACAGGCCCTGCTGGCCACGATCGGGGCGGGGAAGCCAGTCATCGTGTCGCCGTCCATGTCAGGTCTGCTTGTGCCATGGCTTGCGTGCAGCCGATTGCGTGACGTCGCGTGGCTTCGACCCCTCGCCACACTTACTTACACACGTACGCATGCACGGACACACACCATGACTTGCAGGCTCATTCTCGATTCCGCTGCTGATGTCGGGGCAAGATGTCATGAGCGGGTTTGTGCCGGTGGCTCCGGTTGGCGTCGAGAAGTACGAACCAAGCGACTATGCAAAGGTTTGGTTTGGTGGTGACGCACGTGACACTGAGAGAGACACGGAGACGAACACTGCGAGAGGCACAGGGCGAGAAATAGAGAGAGGCAGCGATTGGTCTTCAATGCGTGTGTATACGCTGGTGTTGAAAGCGCAGTGAACCCCTCACTGTCGTGTTTCTTCGCATTCCTTTGTGCGTGACCCTCACCCCCCCCCCAACCCCCACGCCCGCACACGCACCCCCACGAACACCTTGAACAGGTGCAAACGCCCGCGCTGATCATCTATGGGGAGAAGGACAGTGGCGGAAGCACACGCTCGCGTATCCTCGCCAACATGCCAAACTCGAACACCTTCATGATCCCGTAAGGCCCTCGGCCTGTGTCTGTGTGTGTGTGTGTGTGTGTGTGTGTGTGTGTGTGTGTGTTTGTGTGTGTGTGTGTGTGTGTCTGTGTGTGTGTGTCTGTGTCTGTGTCTGTGTGTGTCTGTGCGTCTGTCTGTGTGTGTGTGTGTGTGCGTTTGTGCGTGCGTGCGTCTGTGCGTGTCTCTGTGTCTCTGTCTGTCTGTGTGTCTGCGTCTGTCTGTGTGTGTGTCTGTGTATCTGCCTGCTCAGTGTGTGCGCGCGAATGCTTTGCTCGTGTAGTTGACCTTTTGTCTCCGCTCGTGCCTCTGCTTCTGCCTTTGCTCACGCTTCTGGCTGTTTGACACTCTTCTTTACATTAGCACACCCCTCGCACCTCACTTTCTTCCGCTCCCACCCCCCTCCCTCCCTCAACATGCACGACGCTGTCACTGCTTAACGCCATCACATTAGCAACGGGTCGCACCCGTGTTACTTGGACGACCCCGGCCGCTTTGAACGAGCGCTGCTCAACTTCTTGTTGCGCGTGTTTACTGTTTCCCAAGAAGAGCAGTGAAGAGACCATCACTCGGAGAGGTCGCAGATGGAGCCACACAGCAACAGCAACCACAACAATCGTTACCACACATCATTAAACGTAAGCTCAGCGCAGAGGCTTCAGCTCAAGCAACTGTGGCAGTAATGTAAACCCCAACGAGGCATCCGAAAGCACGCAAAAAAGCGGAATCGTGGCGTGTGTCGAGCACCGTCAGGAAGGAAGCAACATCACATCACGCCGAAGCAAAGGGCCAGCAAGGCACGCAAGCGAGCACATGGCATGCTTGGTGCCGAGGGTTAATCCGGAAGGAAAGCACAAACACGTTGCACGTGCAGGTGTCTGTGTTGGGGGTGGCCGACGCCTTTCAGCTGCACTCAGGCAGAACCTTGGGGAAATCCGTCTGCCTTCATCCTAGTGGCTTCCTGCGTGTTGAACAGGCAATGGGGGAACAGCGCGTGCGACGTAGTTGCGTGAGTGTGACATCGCAGCAGAGAAGCAAGGTGGTGGAGAAACGGAACGATGGCACGTACGCTCAGCCTCATAAAGGACATGTTATGCACTCTCCACACAGTATGTTCGGACTGGGGCGGCATAATCTTTTCATCACAGCGCACAAGAAAGAAGATAGGAGAGATCGGAGACAAGGGACAGGGAAGGCAAGGAATAGGGAAGGCAGGATATGGAATGGAAAAGGGCGATCGAGTGGAGATACACTCACATCACAACCGACATGCACACACAGCAGGGAAGGGCTGGTGCTCAGCCTCATAAAGGACATGTTATGCACTCTCCACACAGTATGTTCGGACTGGGGCGGCATAATCTTTTCATCAAAGCACCAAGTCAAAGAGGAGGAACCAGAAGAAGAAGAAGAAGAACAAACAGAGAGACAGAGGCAGAGAGGTGCACTGACCTGGTACTGGTTCATTGATGTCGATCGAGGAGAGGGATTAATGACAACGGGTGAGACGACAGTGTGGCACGTGGCGCTTGCGCTCACTTTTTCGCTTGGTTCTTTGCTGAATGGAAATTTGGCCAACGATTTCCTTTAATACTCTACCCAGATGTGGGCGACAGGCGACAGGCGGAAATGTGCATTGGTGATCGGCGTGGAGAGCTTGTGTCTGTGTGTCTGTGTGTGTCTGTGTGTGTGTGTGTGTGTCTGTGTGTGTGTGTGTGTGTGTGTGTGTGTCTGTGTGTGTGTGTGTCTGTGTGTCTGTGTGTCTGTCTGTGTGTCGTGTCTGTGTGTGTGTGTCTGTGTTTGTGTGTGTGTCTGTGTGTCTGTGTGTGTCTGTGTGTATCTGCTTGGGTTCTGTACGTATTTCTCCTCGCCATCGCCATCATCATCATCATCATCATCATCATCATCATCATCATCATCATCATCGTCGTCGTCGTCACGCGTGTTGATCCGATTCGGGACACACAAAGGC